AATCTATTGTTGGGGGCTTCCCTGGTGGCGCAGTGGTTGAGAGTCCACCTGCCAATGCAGGGGATGTGGGTTCGTGCCCCGGTCCGGGAAGATCCCACATGCCGCGGAGCGGCTGGGCCCGTGAGCCATGGCCGCTGAGCCTGCGCGTCCGGAGCTTGTGCTCTGCAACGGGAGAGGCCACAACAGTGAGAGGCCCGCGTACAGAAAAATAAATAAATATATATATATATATATCTATTGTTGGGAGCATTTGACTTAGATAGACCTATGTATGATTTTATTTCTATTTATTCTCTTTGGGTTTCTGAGATTCTTGAATCTGTAAGTTGATGTCGTTTACCTAATTTGAGGACATTTCAACTATTTTTTTTTTTTTGATGTTGGGGGTAGGAGTTTATTAATTATTTATTTTTGCTGTGCAAGGGCTCTCTCTAGTTGTGGCAAGCGGGGGCCACTCTTCATCGTGGTGCGCGGGCCTCTCACTATTGCGGCCTCTCTTGTTGCAGAGCACAGGCTCCAGATGCGCAGGCTCAGTAGTTGTGGCTCACGGGCCTAGTTGCTCCGCGGCATGTGGGATCCTCCCAGACCAGGGCTCGAACCCGTGTCCCCTGCATTAGCAGGCAGATTCTCAACCACTGCGCCACCAGGGAAGCCCTCAACTATTATTTTTTCAAATAAATTTTCTGCCGGAATCTTTCACCTTTCCTCCTGGAAATTCAGTTACATGTAAGGCAAATTGATATTGTCCAAAAATTCACTGAGAATTGCTCATTTTTAAAAAAATATTTTTTCTGGGCTTCCCTGGTGGTGCAGTGGTTGAGAGTCCGCCTGCCGATGCAGGGGACACGGGTTTGTGCCCCGGTCCGGGAGGATCCCACATGCCGCGGAGCGGCTGGGCCCGTGAGCCATGGCCACTGAGCCTGCATGTCCGGAGCCTGTGCTCACAGTGAGAGGCCCCCGTACCACAAAAAAAAAAAAAAAAAAAAAAAAATTTCTTTTTGTTCTCTAGATTGGATAATTTCTGTTTTTATTAGTTCTCTATTGATTCATAACAAATTACTCCAAAATTCAGTGACTTATAGCAGCAATAATCATTTAGCTCTCACAGTTTCTATGAATTTAGAATTCTGAATCATCTGAAATTCTGAATTGTTGGGTGTTTTCAGCTGAGGTCTCTCATGAAGTTATAGTCAAATGTTGGCTGGAGATGCAGTCATTTGAAGGCTTGATTGAGGTTGGGGAATCTACTTCAGTTGTGGCTTACTCTCATGCAAGCTGGTTCTTCTCCCCATCAGCATCTCCTTGGAGCTGCTTGAGTAGCCTCATGTCACGGCTTCCATCAGAATAAGCAATCTAAGAGATCAGGGCAGAATCTGCAATGCTTTTATGACCTTGGAAATCACACACCTTCATTTCCACCATGTTCTATTTGTCACATAAGTCAACCGTAATTTAATGTAGTAGGTAAACTCAGAAGAGCATGAATACTAAGAAGTGAAAATCAGTGGGGATGATCTTGGAGGTTGGATACCATATTCTATTTTCAAGTTCACCCACCCTTTCTCCTGCAATCTGCACACTTCTGTAAACCCTTTGAGTGATTTTCTCCCCCAAATTCCAGGTAGTTTGCTTGTTCAGTTCTTAAATTTCTAATGGTTTATTTTGAATCATTTTCATATCTCTGATAGGAATACCCATCTGTACACTAATTATGACTATCTTTTCCTTTAATTATTTGAACATATTTATAATAGCAGTTTAAAATAATTTGTCCATGAATATCAACCTATGAGTCATCTTGGGGTTGGTTTCTGTTGACTGATTTTTCTTTTGACTATGGTTCACATTTTCCTACCACTTCATGTATCTAGTCTTTGTGTGTGTGTGTTTGTGCATGTGTGTGTGTAGACTGGATTGTCAGTGACTCTTTGGAGAGATTCTGGATTCCATTATCTTTTTCCTGAATAGATTTTTTTTCTTCTAACCCACAGTTAAATTTGATGGGACTCATATTTCAAACCATGTCTCCCCTGTGGTGAAGAACAGCTAAAATTTCTTCTTACCATTTTCAACCTTCCAGTTATTGCTGTCCTTTTTGCTGGGTTCCTCAGAATTTCCCACACATATATGTAGCTCAGAGGTTAGCCTATTATTTGAGCACATCTACATGTAGATTTTTGGATTCTTCCACTGTGGTCCCTTCTTTCTGGAATTTCCTCCTCAATTTTCAGCCTCTCTGCCAGGCTTGAATTCTGTTTTCTGACACCTCAAGCAACTAAGAGTTGTGCTGCCTGCAGAGCCCTCAGAGGAAAAGCTGAATAAATGTGCATCTTATTCAGAAGAGTTCCTTTCTTTCATAGGTTGCATCATTTCCAGTTTTCTGATTTTGGTGGTTCTTTCTGCACATTTAAATAACTGTTTTTATACTTAGTTCAGAGTTTATAATTGTCATATTCAGGAAGGTTAGTCATACCAGCTACTTTGCCATACCAGAATGGAAACTTGTCCATTTATATTTGAGTGAGACATAAAATAGCTCATTAGTAGCTTTGGGTTCCTTATCCTGTTCAATGATGGGCTTCACTGTATGGTGTTAACAAAAACCAAGTTCCTTTGTTGGCAGGGGCGGTATCCTAATTGTCAGTATCCACAGATCCCCCTCACCTTGGGTTGTTTAGTTTTCTCATTGAGGAATCCTCCAATTTCTGCATGGCTGAGATTGTGATAGATACAAGCCTATTTTTCAGCATCCTGAGATCCTGTTGGACCTGGAAGTCTCAGTTTATTATGTAGAGTTTCATGAATCCCTTTGTGTTTAATACATTTGTAGCTATACCTTGTGATCTAAGACATACTTTATTTTTTGTTCAAAATTTCCAAAGATTAAATGTGCTCTCTTTTCGAAGAACTTAGGAAGTGTGTTTTTTGGCTGTGAATGATAGAAGAAGAAATGTAGAGGCCTAAGAGCTTCTTATAAAAAAGCACTGAACCAATGTCTTATTCTCACTCCACTTTTAGAAAGATCTGGTACTCTAATTCCTGAGCATTTCTGGAATTCTGTGGTAAGAATTGTATTTCTTCATATTGGCTTCTCCATTGCAAATCTGGGTTTCAGGTCTACCCAGTCTTCTGAGTGAGTGACCACTGTTCATTTGTTCCAAGATTTTAAGTTTTAGTTGATATTATTTCTTCCTTTCTTTTTGTGGATATATGCATTTGTTTCTTTTCTGTCATTTTAGGTGATATTGCATAATGAGTGACAATAAATTGCATAGATTCTATTCCTGTTCCATCTGTTTTAAAATAAATTTTTTCATCTTCAGTTTTTAAATAAACTACATTCATGAAACCAAATACCCTCTTTTTAATCTGCAGCTAATAACACTTTTAGAAAAGCCAGTTGTGAAAAGCATAGGTGTCAAATAACTAAACCAATGTTGAATGTAAATATCAATTCTACTATCACCTCTGTATCATGAAATGGTCTTTCTCTAGCTATTGTTCCCTAAAATAGCAGGAGAAAAAAAGGTTTACCGTCTCTTTCAGTGTAATATGCTTGCTTTCAACTCATGAGTTGAAAAGAATTGTGAATAAAAGAATTGCTCACAACAGGCAGGTATCTACATGCAGTGCTGCCACTTCAGGACTTACCTCAAAAAGGTGTAAATAAAAGTGACCTAGCCACTACTTCATGCCCATCCCACCACCAGTCAGTGCCAAGGGAAACTGATTTAGTAAGAACTAGAATTTACTTTCAAGAGCTTCATCAGTTTGCTTTGCTTGTATACTTGGTTTTCTAACGTGAAGATTAGTGAATTCATTCTCTGAAAAGTAACAAGTCATGTGAGCATTTTGTCTTTCACCATATAATTCAGTATTAATTGAATTTGTGTGAATCTACATGTACTTGCTATTTTTTAGGCCATTTGTAAACTGATCATATGCTAATCTTCATAAAATTACCTGTGAAGAATAGTTTCTGTATAGTTTATTTTTCATTTTCTGTCAACTAAGGGTCAATTCCTATCATTAATTGGTTAGATTTGGGGGGTTTGTTTTTGCTTTTTTTGGTTTTGCTTTGTTTTTGGTAGTTCACCAATATAGCACAAAAGCTCTTAAGTGTAAGAAATTAATCAGTAATAGTGGAAACTATTGGACCGTGTTTACTGGTGTAATCAGGAATGGGGACACACTGAGAAGAGTTTAATGCATGTTGCAGGAAAGTCAGAAAAGAAAAAAGACTAAAAGTAATACCTGTGAAGTAAGATTAAATAAAGGGCTTAAAGTTATTTAGCCAGAAATGAGATATGATGTAATGTCTTTATATATACAAAGATTTATTACAGAATATAATGACTAATTGTTGTTCATTTCTGCTGAAATCTAAAAAAAGTTCAAGGGTAGAAATATAAATGATATAGATTTAACCAATACTTAGAAGGATAGCCTAAAGGTTTATGGGCAGACATTAGAATGCTTGTGATGGGACACATCTCTTGGGAAGAGGAAAGAGCTTTAAATGTAGCAGTCTTCTCTGTCATGAATGATGACAAGTCCTGCTTTAAGGCAGAGGGCTGGACTAGTTGGATTCCATAGGGCCCTTCCAAACCTGTAATTCTCTGGGTCACTTCTGTTGCTAGCCTTCAGAAGCTGGGAGTCAACTAGACATAGCAAATACCCGCCCTTCCAGGAGCTCCAAAAGTGCCACAGGATGCAGTGCCAGCAGCAGCACGGCAGCACCTATTACAACTGAAGACTTCATTCAAAGGTGAGTCAGGTCACCGTGGACCCAGACACTTCCCTTTCCTCCAGCTTTCACTGGCTCTGGGCATTGGAGCCCTGGAGGATCGGCGACCAGAGGACACCCTTCCCATCCGTCAATATAACCTTTGACAGAGGGAGGAACAAGGGATGGCAGGTTAGCTGGTGCTGGGTGGGAGGGGCTCGCCAACTAGACGCGCTCAAGGAGAGATGAGTTGCGCCAGCAACAGCCAGGTCCCTTTCTCACCATCCTGCTGGCCACCCGGACCCATGTGCTCCCAGAGCGCGCTGGGCGCTCAACACTCGGAGCGATTGTCCCTGTGCGCTCGGTCTCTTCCAGGCACCCGATTCCAGCGGGAGGTAGCGTGGGATGATGCTTTGGCCCTTGTGCCTTCCCCAGTCTCCAGCATCCGGAGGCGCCCTAGCTGGCTCCACCGCAGCCACTGCCAGAGAGGGAGAAAGGAAAAAAAAGGGAGGGGGGTTGGAAAGGCACGGTGGAGGGAGGTAGGGAGGGAAGGACCGAAGGGGGAGGGAATCACTCTCCTTTGCAGTGCCTCCGCCTCCTCTCTCTCGCCAGCGGCGACTGGGGTTCTCCCTCCACACCGTCTCCCAGTTCCTCGGCCCCTTCTCCGCCCACCCTCCCGCCAGAGCGTGCAGAAAGGGAACCGCAGCCCGAGCGCGGCTGACGGCGCCGGGGGAGGCGGCCGTGGGTGTGTGCGTGTGTTTGAAGGACGCCACCTCTCGCTCCTGCGTTCGCAGGCGGTGACTGGCGGCGGGGCTTCTCGCTCCGGCAACGGTGGCGACCGCGGCGGCGGCTTCCGGAGTCCCGCCGCGAAGATGCTCAAAGTCACGGTGCCCTCGTGCTCCTCCTCGTCCTGCTCTTCGGTCACCGCCAGTGTGGCCCCGGGGGCCGGGAGCCTCATCCCGGATTACTGGATCGACGGCTCCAACAGGGATGCTTTGAGCGATTTCTTCGAGGTGGAGTCGGAGCTGGGACGGTAAGGCGGAGGGGGCGGGGTGGCGAGCTGGGGCGTTGGGGGGCGCCCTGGACCTGGTGGAGCCGGGCGCCCTGTGCGCGGGCTCGGGCTTCTGGGGAAGCCCGCGGCGCGCAGTGGGCGCTCTCCCTCTCGCAGCGACAGCTCCCGAGGATGCGGGAGCCGGCCTCACTGCCCTCCGGTTTCTACCCGCTCTGGGAGAGAGCTCAGCACCGTGCAAGTGCGAGTCGGGTCTCCCCGGGAGCGCCCAGGCCGGTGCAGCTGCTAGCAGCAGCCCGACTCTCTCCCACTCTCCCTCCTCCTCACCGCCTGCCACTTCCCTTGCGTGACAGCTCCCACCGCACGTGGGCCCTGCTTTCCCAACTGGTGTCTTTGCTCACGATTATATCTTGCCAGAGGGTCCTGTTTGTCTAGTTATTTTTTGGATTGGGGGGTGGAGGGAGCCTCTCCAAATCATGACAGAATTATTAAATTAGATTCTTTCTCTTTCCCCTCATCAAGCTCTTCAAAGCAAGTGGCACTAGAAATTAAACTTAAACACTAGCTTCCCTGCAGAGTCTGCTCAGGAGTGAAGGGGAAATGAATCATGTAAGAGAGTTGAAGGCAGAATAATGAACTAGTGTGGCTTTAAAGAAAAAGCAGCCCTTGGGGTGGTAATTAGTGAGAAGAGTTCTGCGGCTCTTCTTTCATGTGCTGGAGTGATTTGTTTAAATTATGTATGCAGAAAACCACCTCCTGGGGTTGTAGAAATATTCCTCATCCCTTCTGTGAAGATCCAAACAGGTAGTGGTTTTGCCATGTGAATGATGCCATATGTTCTCATATTTTTATCCATTGAAAAATATTTTTCCCTTCCTTCCTTTTTCCTTTTTTCCTTTCTGCTATCCATAGGTAAGGGACTTCTTTTCAACACTCATTTTAGAACCAGGCCCTTTATTATAGGGAATCTAAAGATGTAATTTCAGCTTTTAACAGGTTGAAGCTTCTGTACTTAACTATTTCTTTGCAATTTTATTTTCCATTCTTTTTTTGCTGGAAACAGTTTAGCTAACAGCCATTTTATTTTTCATGGCATTGGAGACTACAGTGTGGGATTCTGGATGTTGGTACCTAGTGGGACTGTAAGGGCCACTTTTCCCCTCCGAATTGCCACTACTATTAATGGCTCACTGAGTGCAGAAGGTGTGGAAGAAAAGCAAAACTTCTGAATGAAAATTTAGGAGTTGCCACTGTTTTAAAATGTTTCAGAATATTTGAGCATTGAATAATGCATACATAAACATCCTGTTCTGATCAAGTTTTTCAATGTTCATCTGAAGATCTGCTGTAGTATGCATTCCCTAGTAGGTTGAAAATGAAATATCTTCTTTTGTAAGGTTTGAAGCCTACATAATTGTATGATGAGCTGCAGTGGAACAGTGTAAACTTCTGATTAAAGTGATAATCTACTTAAAATTGATGAGTTTTAGAAACTGCCACCTAGTAGAGGAAGTGCCTGATGGTACTCCAGGGACTGTCTCAACACCAAATCTAACTCTTTCTGAGTAATGTTTACCTTAGATGCTCCTAATTGGCTATGACTTACCATCAGCACACGTTATCTTTGTGATTAAGCTTTGCCCTCAGGAAGCTCAAGAAATTTCCTTTAATGTAAGGAATGGGAAAATGTGTAGAAAAATAAATAAACTACAAATTGTGTGTATATACTAGATGGTAGACTTCATAGGGAAAACCTAAGGAATTTGGAGTTTATTATACTTTTTAAAACAGCTTGTTATATTTTGTACTAAATTTTGGAGCCTGAATATAAATCAATTATATATTGCTAAGACTGTCACTCTGCTAGCTAATCATTTGATTACCATGAAAATCACAGAATTAAAATATTTTGAGAAGAGATTTAAAATTGTTACTTCTGTCCTCTTTTTCAGTATTCATGTATATTAGGTAAGTTCTTTGTAGATGGCAGAATTGGTGAGGTGCATACTTACTCCATTTGGTTGAGACTTTGAGAAATATTATCACTTCATGGTCAAAGTTGTTTTTTTTTCAACAAAATAAACCTAAAACATAAAGCAGCTCTGTTACAAATACAATTAGTAAGAATCTATAAAGCCAGAGAATGCAACAGAATTATAATTGTAGATATTGACTGAGTGACTAGTTTTCTTCCTCACAAGTGATAAAGTTGAGGCTCAGTCTATTGGTTTCAAGTCTTTACTCTCTTTACTCCCAGTCTTGGGCCAAGTCTGCCTGCCAGTGGTGACTCTAAAGCCAAAATATTTAATTCATTAGTAACACAGTTGTTATTAAGAGTAAGAGAACAATGCCCCTAGTGTTGTGTGGTGCCATTTTGGTTAGTTCCAGGATGTAGACAGTTCTCTCCAGATCAAGTATAGATTAAGTTATAGAGTAATCTATTACAATTACATGTTGTAAGCAGACAGTTCCCTCCAGATCAAGTATAGATTAAGTTATACAGTAATCTATTACAATTACGTGTTGTAAACTAGTGACTCCTGAATTCAAGAAAATTGGACAAATGACCATTAGGGCAACATAGCTTGAGGATGTATTTGGGGATTTCAGGGAACAAGATTCCCAAGGCTGTAACCACTTGAATCCCCTGGATGGTACTGATAGCACCAATCCACCAATCCATTCAGACCAGGGTAGATGTGATAGCTTTCTTTTTTCAGGATGAGGGTGAGGCAGGAGCTGAAGCAGGGACTGAAGCAGGGGTCGAAGGGTGTTGAAAGGAATTATCTAAGAGTTTCAGGCAAACTAATTTATTTTCCCAAAAACCACATTTGAAAATACTGCTATGTTTATAAAATTTGTTTAAAAGTTTACAAAAATCAAGTTTACAACAAATTCAGTTCTACTCAAAAAAATAAATTGACCGTGATCCTGTTCAGGACTCCATATCTTAAAGAGTGGTTGGTCCTTTGCCCAGTGATTTGAGAAATTGGTATTTTAAAGGTTTTTCCAAGGGAGAAGGGACCCTCTCTCTGGTCCAGATTCTGCCGGGTGGTTTGGCAAACAGAGGGACAGGATTTGGCCTGGGCTGCTCTGTGGTGATGATTTGGCCCTGTGCATCCAAACCCATGTTCTCTCTTCAGTTATTTCTCACCTTTTGTTTCTGTCTGTTGTATGAGATTGAAAGAATGTTTGTAACAAAATCAGATGTATTCCCCCACACACACAAGTTCAGGGAAGCAAATGAAAGATAATTAGGACAAGAGAATAAAAGTGTGAAAATCACAGAATTAAAGTATTTTGAGAAATACTTAGGTTTGCTCTCTTTTTCAGCATAGAAATTGAGTTTTTGGAATCTTTTCTTTTTTAATTTCCATTACATTTCACTATAGTTTCTTTAGGCTAATGACTTTCAGTACCTGCCCACCACCCAACTTGATTCACAATTTAAAAAAAAAACTTATATAGCAACCTAATTTAAGCATAATTATATAGGATCCCTTGTTATGTGTGTTCTTGCTCAGGAAACAAATTTAGATAGTGAGTCATATGTGTATATAAAATGGAAATAAAAGCTTCATAAAACAATGTTTATTTTTATTACCAGCAGTGTACTCTAATATTTCCTATTCTGTGCTGTTTAATTTTATTCTAGTTCCTTAAAAATATTGGTTGAACCTACATGATTTCACATCCCACTAGTAGGTTGTGATTCAGTTTGAAAAGTACTGTTTTAGGCCGTAAATCTGTGTATGCCAGATGAAAGTATGAGTATGAGTATCTTCCTTTCGAAAGATGCCATGCAGAACAATTGGTAACATTGAGTAGTGACTGATTGCATAGCTCTGTAAAGAAAAATCCCCCTGTCTTTCCTTCCAACATTATTGGGTTTCCCTTTTCAAACACTATTGGAAAAACTCTGGTTTCTCCACGAGGCCTGCTGAGTGGAGTGTATTCTGGACTGGCTGAGCAGTTCAGGAGGCTGGACCAGGAGCACCTTCACTGTGGAGTGGAGGAATCCAGAGGCCTGAGCAGGGCTGTAGTCCACTCGGTAACATGTAACTTTGTTCCCAGGTAATGGTCAGCAAATGCTTCCTGTAAGGAAACAGCAAAGTGTGCATTTTCTGAAAGGAGGGCTCCAACCTGTGCTCCTGGCTGGGGAGGAATCGGATCCTCTCTTTTCCCTTTTCCCTTCCTTCCGTTTGTTCAAGTCCGTTCCTGAGCCATTCTTAGCCAGTGCTTCGTGGGCTCTTGGTCTTTCCCTCCCACTGTCCTTTAGGGCCCCACAGCCTATCCAGCGTATCCCCACAGCTGGCTATGGATCTCCTGCCACACGCACTGTACTTGGTATCTTAAGCTCTTTTGGGGATGATGTTGTTGTTTTTTTTTTATCTCACTAGGAATTTAAAGTATACTTGTTCAGTCCCTCTCGTGTTCTCTGTGCACCTGATTCTCTTCTCAGGCAGTTGACACAGTAGCAAGGTGGGATTGCATTTGGGAGAACAGAAACTGGGGCTGCACAGGCTCTTCGCACCAACACTGACTACAAGTTCTGGAAGGCAGGGTCTGTAGATTTGGCTGGTTCACTCTTGTGTGCTCATTGCCTGGCACAGTACTCAGTACTCAGCAGGTGCTCAACAAATGATTTTGAAGAGAATGAATGAATGATAACAAAGTGGGCCAGGCACTGTGGGTCCTGATGTGATGATCTCAGTTCTAAGGACCCCAAGGAAAGGGAAATCTGGTGACCTGTTTGACGTGTGTGACCATGATCTTAATCTCACTCAGCACTGGTTTCCTTTCTTGGCAGTATTGATAACTGCCACCTCTGTAGCTTGTTGGTGTTGAAAATAATGCTGCTTTTCTGTTGGCAGAGTGCTTTGTGGCTCTGAAATGAAAGGGATTCAGTTTCACCTTTGCTATCATTTTACCACAGGCATGTCAGAATTAGGAGTTAAATCAACTTGAATTTAAAAGCATGAAATGCCTCCAAGCTATGCCAACCACTAAAGTTAATACATAGT